CTTGCACAACTTTTTACGGCTGAGCACAGTGTGCCCCAAAGTTGTGGCTGCTGAAGAAATCAAGCAGACTGAGCATAACGCAGAGTGTGTGTTTTACATACCAATGGCCAAATTCTGCTCCAGGTTAAACCAGTGTAACCCCTCTGAAACCAACAGCATTGCACCAACTGAGAATTTGTCTCGTGTACTAGATCTCGGTGATCAGCAAGAAAAAAAATTTACAGAAAAGGGATCTAACAATGATGAGCCTTTTAATAAAATTGGAAAGAGTCCAGCGGAGGGCAACAAAAATGATTAGGGGGCTGGAGCACATGACTTATGAGGAGAAGCTGAGGGAACTGGGATTGTTTAGTCTGCAGAAGAGAAGAATGAGGGGGGATTTGATAGCTGCTTTCACCTACCTGAAAGGGGGTTCCAAAGAGGATGGATCTAGACTATTCTCAGTGGTAGCAGATGACAGAACAAGGAGTAATGGTCTCAAGTTGCAGTGGGGGAGGTTTAGGTTGGATATTAGGAAAAACTTTTTCACTAGGAGGGTGGTGAAGCACTGGAATGGGTTACCTAGGGAAGTGGTGGAATCTCCTTCCTTAGAGGTTTTTAAGGTCAGGCTTGACAAAGCCCTGGCTAGGATGATTTAGTTGGGATTAGGTCCTGCTTTGAGCAGGGGGTTGGACTAGATGACCTCCTGAGGTACCTTGTAAGGTATCATTTGAAAACTCAAAATTTGCTGGTCAGTGGCCAGTATTTGGCAACATTGAAATGTGAAGTTATAAGTTTCTACTGTATGGTGTTACTAATACATGTTCCAAACCCTACAGCCCTGCCCAATCCAAGATTGGCAAAGAGGTCTGTCCTGCATTAATGTAGTAAACAGAGTCATCAAGCAGTGAGGGGGAAAAAAGAAAGCTCATTCAGGTGAGAAAAAAGCAGCAGGGAACATCCTTCCACATACACTCTTTGTCTCCTACTGCCAATCTGGAAATGTTTTTCAAGAGTGGGACTGAAACTATAAAAAGGAGGGACAAACACCCCAAGGTACCCCAGCCCATCACATTCGCTGCACCTGAAGCAACAAAGGAAGCATTTGTTGGACTCTGGGGAGAAGGGATCCTGACCTACAGGGTTGGGTCAGTAAGACTGCTGAAAGCATGTGGTGAGAAATTTTGCTTGAATCTAATGTAGTTTGTTAAATCAGGTAATAGTAAACATCATATCTTTGTTTTACTTGTAGCCATTTTCTGACTTTTATGCCTCATTACTTGTACTCAAAATGTATCTCTTTGTAATTAATACACTGGATTAGATAAAACAAGTTAATTTTAAATTGATGTGTCTGGGTAACTCCATTTGGGGTGACGAGTTGAGTTGTGTGCATATTATTCGTTTAAAGGAGTAAGTGACTCAATATAACTTGTATTGTCTGGGAGAGAGTTGGGCAGTACAGGGCATATTGGGTGTGTTGGGGTCACCCTGCCATATAACCAAGGCTGGTGAGAGCCAGGGTGTAACCCAAGTGTGACTGTCAGACTGCAGTTGCAGATAGACACTCAGGGAAACCTGTTTGTGAGTGGCCCAGGTGGAAGCTATTTCAGCAAGGTATTATGAGGTATCTAAGGTTGCAGGGTAGGGGGTGAAACAGCTGCCCATTAGTCTGGATTGTGATTTACCAGGATTGAGATTTGAAAGAAGGCAGAGGTCTCTGTCTAATCAGGTGGCTTACTCTCTATTTTCTTCCCTTTCCATGTAACCTCACCAGCACAATTCTTCCTTGCAGATATCCTTTTTTCCAGTCAGTACTGTGCTCTCTTTCACCAACTCTGGAAATAGTAACTGTGATTTATTGATTATCTTTAATAAAGATATTTTATATTTAAATATGCCATATACAGATTTTAAAGAAAAATTCCTAAGAATTACCTGTTGTTCTAATTATGCCCTCAGATCTGTTGAAAAGCAATGCATCAGTCAACGGAGGGTTTGGTTTAAAGTTACCATTCCTCAGAGACAAAAGGTACAGAAACATTTTGAGAATGATGGTCAGAACTGTGCACCAACACAACACAAATATCTGCCACAGGTGAAAGAGTACCAGATTGCATCTCCATGATTTGAAGTGCAGGTTGGTTTCAGGCTCTGTCAATCAAGTCAGTTGGTTTGAATTGTTAATCTTCTAGTGATTTGCTGTAGAGGACGTATGTGTTGCTTTCATACAGGAGGCACCAGAAGTTGGTTTTTTTCCCCCCCTCTCTCTCTAGGAAGGCTTGGGAAATGGAAATAAACATTTCATCTCTGTTGTGCAGCCATTCTTGGATGAGTTGCTATGTAGACATTATGCTTGCTTGCAGAACTGAGGGGTTTCTATCAAAGTTTCAACTTGGTATTTTTGGCTGTAATAGGTTTGGCCTCAGACTCTGTTCCCATAATATAGGGTGCATTAGATTATGTTGTCAAATAATTTCAGTAGTAGTTTTATTGGTGTATTTTATTTACTCATTGGTTTCTTTTATGGTATAAATGGCCTGAAAGCATATATTTTTTTTCTCCTAATGTTTTTACAGAAAGCCTGAAGTTCCATGATGGAGCTCAGATATGTATAATTCAACCTGTTCTATTTCTGCATTTTCCAAAATAATGTTTTTTTAAATTTATTTGGATTGTTAAAAGCTTTTTGGGGAAGAATCATTATTCTTACTTTTTCAAGGTTGACCTGTAGAATCCATATGTTGCGGTATATTTGTAGCAGGTGTAGGTTCCTTTGCAGACTATTTTGTGTGGGTGATAATATGACAGCTAATTTGCATAGTGCAGGCATTGTACATCTGAGTTGGTTTAATATAGAGTCCTGGATTTGGAGAGTTCTCTAGTAGATTTGATAGTGCACTGATGTATATGCTGTGAAGAGTAGGGCTGAAGTTGCATCTATTTTATTCCTCTGTGTCTTGTAGGGATCAGGGATGGTTGGTTGCGTTGTACATAGATTTAGTTTGTTTCCCATCAGTTCTGTTCAGAGAGTTTAAAGGTAAGCCCAGAGTGCCCTTTTGAGTTGTGGGAAAAAAACAAGTTCTTACTTTTATGTAGGTTGCAACGTGTCAAAGGCAGTTTTATTTATTTTTTTAACACTTGCAAGGGAAAAGTACTTACGGGCAGAGGTTCCCCTCCCGAGGTAGGTCTCCGTTAAATAAACAATTAAGGCAAGCATTTATACCTTTTGTTACATACAGTAATAATTAACAACTGCATTTTGTTTATACATATTTCTTCCTGATACCTTACTTTTCTTAGCAGTTCTTGCTATAGTCTGCGTTCCATTTTTATCTAACACAAGGTTAAAATAACCTTTCTTACCGTGTGGTTTTTTTTTTTTTTTTTACTTGCCTGGGCCCTGCCTGGAAGTCTTCCGTTATTAGCTGTTAAAGTTGCCTGACTTTTGCTTTTTCTAGAAAACTAAAATGTTTGTGCTTTTTTCCAACTTCCACAGTCAAATACTTTTAAAGGTTATGGAACAGACATATCTTCCCCTTTCAGGGGCATTTATGTAGTAGGGTAGGGAATTATGTTTTTCAACTTGTTTAACTGTATTTAGAGTAAAAAAGTTGGTGGTTCATTTCTCAGGGAGGAATCCAATTTGGCTTTTACATTCTTCGTTGTTCCTGGACAAGTATTTTGTTGTTCTTTATCAAGGATTCCACCGACTAGTCTGCTCCTGATCTTGCTAATATAGATACAGGGCCGGCTCTAGAATTTTTGCCGCCCAAGGCAAAAACAATTTTGGCCGCCCCACCCGCCCCGCCCCAACTCCGCCCCTTCCCCCAGGCTCTCAAGCCTGGGAGGGAGGGGGAGCAGCGGCGCGCGAAACAGCTGTTTCGCGCGCCGCGGCAGCTCGGGATCTCCCCCTCCCTCCCAGGTTTAAAAGCCTGGGAGGGAGGGGGAGACTCCGAGCGGCCGCGGCCCGGGCGCCGCTCCTCCCCCTCCCTTCCAGGCTCTCAAGTCTGAGAGGGAGGGGGAGCAGCGGCGCGCAAAACGGCCGCTCGGGATCTCCCCCTCCCTCCCAGGCAGCAGCAGCGGAGGTGAGCTAGGGCGGCCCGCGACACATTTTTAGGGGCGGCATTCTGGCGCTGGCCATGCCGCCCCTAAAAATGTGCCGCCCCAAGCACCAGCTTGTTTGGCTGGTGCCTAGAGCCGGCCCTGTATAGATACATCTGTGATTGTCTTGATGTCAGGCTCCTTCACAGTGACTGGGATGTGCAAGGGGGCAGGATTGTATCTCTGCTTCTGTCAGTCACACAGGGGCTGTGCAGAAGGGAGGATGGTCTCTGGCTCTGTCAGTAACAATCAGGTTGGGCAGAGAGGTGGGATAGGACTGATATGGCCCTATCCATCACAGCAGGGCTGTGCACAAGGGTGGGGGAGGAGGCAGTCTCTGGCTTTGTCAGTCACAGTGGGGTTCTGCAGTGGGCAGAGGGGACTGGTCACTGGGGCTGTGTAGAGGAGTGGGTCTTGGGGGGGCCAGGCTCTTGCTCTGTCAATCACAACGGAGCTGTGACGTAGGAGGAGGAGGGAGGATGGTATTGGTCTCTGGCTCTGTCAGTCGCAGAGGGGTGGGTGGGGGGACTGGTCTCTTGCTCTGTCAATCACACCGGTGCTGTGGAGAAGGATGCGGGAGGCGTGGTCTCTGGCGCTCTGTCAGTCACGTCTGGACTGTGCAGAGAGGTGGGCGGTTTCTGGCTGTCAGTCACAGCAGGGCTATGGAGGGGTGGTGGTTTCTAGCTCTGTCAGTCAGAGGGGGCTGTGCAGTTGGGCGTGGGGAGGCTGGTCTCTGGCTGTCAGTCATGGTGGGGTGGGTGGAGGCAGACT